AATTAGACTTTGTATATCCCTGTGTACCAATCCAATTGCTACAGTATTCTACTACTGGGTTTCCTGACCAGAAAGCATCTACACACATATTAATGAGTGGGACTCTGCAACTGACTACATTTTTTTCTTGAGTATCTTTTCTCATTCATTTTTTCATGTTGGCAATACTAATTTCTTGTAATTCAGGATATCTGACATGAGTTGTTAGCATTAGATCTAGGACTGACAGCCTGGTCCTCATCTGGAGATGCACAAATATTCTTCTCCCTGCATTCGTGTGGCCTCAGTGCTCCACAAGGGCTTGTAGCTTTGTTCATGCCTTCAGACATTTAAGTGCATTGCCCTCATTTGGATTCATTTCTGTAGAACAGCATTTGCTGTAGCAAAGGAGAAGAATAAGCAAATTCCGCAGCACCCTGAAACTTCTTCAAGCTTTAGTTACCAAAGATCAAGTACTAAATGGAAAATATACTCAAATGAGATGCTTCCCTCCACAACACCTAAGCTGTGACTATGGGACCTTGGGTTACAGCCTCAGATCATCACCCTGCGTGTGATGCAGTCCTGCGAGCATGCAGTGGCTCCAGAAACACTGCAGTAGGATCACAAAACAGGAAAGACAACAAATATCCTGGAGAGTCTTAGGTAAAAGTAAATACCATTTGTTTTTCTGCACAGCAAGTATGCTACTAGGGAAAAAAAAAACACAAAAGATTTTGCTTCATACATAATTAGTTGAATAATGATACATCTTCAATCATACAATAAAGCAGATGATACTTTTCTCCCCAAGTCTTTTGACAGAACTTAAATGAACAAATCCTCTGTAAACTGGCTGCTGATCTGTATGCAAGAAAAGATTAAACAGATTTGCTGGATTACTCATCAAACCATTTTGTCTATTTAATCCCTGATTTTGCTCTAAAGAAAAAGAGGAAAAATCGTCTGTTTTTATTAAAAGCTGGAATCAAAAAATTAAATTTGATGAGTGACCATCAGAACTAGAGAGACAAGATACCCTTGTCCTCTGGAGAAGCCTCACAGCCATGCAGTTAACTAACAGGAGCACAACAGCAAGGACAAGAAAATGAACTGGACAGTTGTCCACGGAAAGACAGAAGCCCTGGGTAGCATATTCCAAAACACTGTTCCCACTGAGTCCCCACATTTTTAAAGCAGGGAGATTGAGGGCAGGATCAACTAATGCATTTGTACCTGGCCACTGGGCTTCACACTGCTCCTGCTCCCTGGCTTAGTGATGTCCAACAAAAGAAACTGTGCTTGGGAAGTGTATGACATGACAGTCCAGCATTGTGTGGATAGCCATCTAGCCCTGCACCTTCACTACTGAAAGTAAGATGGATCTCTACATTCTGCATGTGCTTTGGTTGAATTCAGAAACTGAACACACCTAGATGTAAACACCTCATGGTAAGTGTCTGACTACCTCTGGCTAGACACATCTTTTTGCTTTTGAGGATAAAGACAAGAGAACAAGAGCTCTGTCATCCCCATCCAACCCTTCACAATCAGCATGGATGGAAATGTTGTTGCAAAACATATCTCCCAAGGTTATGACTTTTATATACAACATGAGTACCCTTCCAGACAAAGCAGAAGCATTTCTGTTCACAAAACATCAGAATTTTCCATGACGACTGGCAGAGTTATTTTGTTTTGCTGCTTGTTTGCTTACATGTTTTCCCTTTTTGAGAGAGAGCAAGCATTTGTTCAACTGACATTGCATTAATGAGCAGCTAATTCTATTTATCCTGCTGTGCTAGCACCAGTACATCACAACATTAGTATTTTTCTGTCTTGGGTCTTACACAATGGGAAAAGATGATCTGATTCAATACATACAGATCTATAAGTATGGGTTTTAACGCATTGAAAATGATCCCTGTATTGTAAATCCTTTATCCATAGGGAAAATGTAGCTCTCCCATGTGTACCAGAAATATTGATAAAATTATTCCAAAAACTAAAGAAAATCTGATTTTTTTTTTTCTGAGACTAGAGAACAAATGAAAGAATCTTAGAAATGCACTGACAGAGAAAAGGTTCATTGTGTGCTTCAAAACATATATATCTTTCATCCAGTTTAATACTGAAAGGATTTGAGAAAGAGGGAGGAGGAGCTTTCACTTCATGGCTTTCTTTACATAGGTTTTCTTCATAAATGAAGATGAAAATTGCTATCAAGGTGCAGGAAGTTGCACATAAAGCATTACCAAACCTCAGTTACAAACAGATTAGCTATTATGACATAGCCTTAGAATACTATACTGGGTGTAAAACTGAATTAGACTGTCATAATAATAGATGGAGTCTAAAAATCCTGAAGTTTTTCTCCATTCTTGAGCTTGGTTTTGCCCATGCATTGCCTTACAGAGCCTCTTCCCTGCTTTCCACTGAATTCTCTGCTGCTGAGCTTACAAGCAGTGTCCCTGCGTGCAATCCTCCTTCTCCAGCTTTGATTTCCAGCATGAGCAGGGAGGCACAGTGTGGCAGATCCCATGTCCATAAGCTGTTTGTAATTACTTTTAGCCCTTTTCATTGTGAGGATGTCCTAAAATCTTTTTTTCATGTTAGCTCCCTAATACAGCACCATATATACTTATCTTGTAGTTTAAAATATAAAGTTTCACTAACTGTGACCGGAAACTGTGAGGACTGCATTTCAGAATAAAATCCCAATTTAGGCATTGATTTGTCACATAAGGAAGAAACCTAGGATTTAGTGATGAGGATAAGGAACTACAATGAATTTATATAATTCACCTTGGTATGGAGAGACTGGTCAGCTCCCAGAGATTACTTAGCACTGCTAACTGCTTGTATATACTTGCTTTTCTTGCAGATTATATGTGACAAGAATAGTCTTGGGGAGCTATTACATAAGAAGGACTATTTAAAGTTTATTCATTTCAGTGTAATTCTGACATTTCTAAATTAAAACCAGACTGCTTCTTGTTCTTGTGGTGCTTCAGAAGCTCAAAGTATCTTCAGTATAGAAAATACATTCTCACTTCATAGCTCAGTTTTTTGCACTGAGAAATGACTTTATTAACCACAGTGCACTATATTACAACTTCTATTAATAATTTCTGTGTGCATCATAGAATCCCAGACTGGTCTGGGTTGGAAGGGACCTTAAAGCTCATCCAGCTCCAGCCCCCCTGTAACAGGCAGGGACACCTTCCACTAGAGCAGGTTGCTCCAAGCCCCGTCCAGCCTGGCCTTGAGCACTGCCAGGGATGGGGCAGCCACAGCTTCTCTGGGCAACCCGTGCCAGCACCTCAGCACCCTCACAGGGAAGAATCATACACTGCAGAATCTCCTGGTGAAGTCTAACCTTGCTGCTCTAACACTCACAAGCCCAATTCTTGTAGTCATGCAGATTTAATGAGAAAAAAAAAGATTGTCTGAAGGCAGACAACTGAATACTGAGCACCTAATTCAAGCCTACGTTAGTGTAGTACCTAAAAAATGGGGTAGAAGTCCTTTTTAAAACAGATTCAAGCTTTTGTGGCCCTTCCAAGAGAACCACAGTTTATTAAACATCAACACTTCTGATGACAGAATACAACATAACTTTCACAGAAACTGGACTTTAACTATTAATAGTGGACATTAGGATCACATGCTGGGTGCAAGCAGGACACTCGTCCCAGTGGTGCCTTGCAGCTCACTCTGACACGAGTGACAGTGCAACAGCTCTCCTGGAGCCACGCTGGACTAAAGAATCACCCCAGTAGTGCCTCCTGACACTCCCCAGGGGCAACTGGGGCACCAGGGAAAGAACCACAGATTTTCTGTGATGGCTTCAGTGAATTTACACAGTTTTAAAAGAAAGAGGAAAAGCAATGTCAGAAAAAAGTGTGTCATACTAAAGGCAAGCCCTCTCCAAGGAGAAGGGTGCAAGTTTCTGAGCTTTGATCACACTGTTTATAAGATACATACATGAAATGTTAAAATCCATTTATTTGCCTGTATTTGGCTTTTAAGAGTGCTTCTGAAAAATGTCATTTTCATGGAAAACAGCAACTGTTCCAGGACATCATATGGCAATCAACTCCTAATCTAAACATGGACTTGGACTTACATCTCAGAAGATTAAAAATGTTCCACAGTCTCCTATATGAAATCAGCACTTATTTTTCTTCTTGTGCCAATTCCAACCTCCTCTTCATTAAAGTGCTTCATTTGCAAAATTTGGTCAGAACAAATTTCGTAAATACTGCTTAGATACTCTAAAGAGCTATTAAAAAAAAAAAGCAAGATCCCTTTACTTCCCCTCACACAACAAATGAAGAAATATTACTGTGTGACATGAATTACACATTTTGGATATGAGTAACCATGAGTACCAAGCAGTGAAGAATCCTGACTTAAACCTTGGCAGTTCCCAGATGACAAACTGTTTTGAGAAAACACCCATATCAACTTGGATTAATGCAAATTAATTTTTACAGTTATTCTAGTACAGGTGACAAAAATAAAATACTCAGAAGCAAAAGTGACAGATTTCAGTTATTAGGTGATATAAGCTACCCAACAAACCTAATACTGCTATAATTTCCAGGGACACCTCTTTAACACTGCACATTGCTTGTCTTCTAAAATATAACCAGGTTCCTGCTGATCCAAGTGATTCAGGCACAGCCTCCGGAGCATTTTGGCAATGTTATCTCATAACTACAGTACACAAAGGCACAATTTATTTAATTTAGCCTCATATCCTCTAAGAGCAGATTCTGTCAACTTCTACAAAGATCCAGAGCTGTATTTATGCTCCCCAGCACATACCGTCATTTCCATGAGCCAGTGCAGCAAATCCTCTTCCATGTTCCCTTAGAACATCTGAAAAGCATTGCTTAAAAAGGGCATGATGGGATTAACAAAAACCACTATTCTCCTTCAAGAAATATACAACGGCAACAGAATGGAAAATCACAGAGATTATGTAGGGAAAACCCCAAACCAATAAGCCTTACTTGTGCAAGGTGTGAGATGGCCGGTCATTTTTCTCCAGTTGTCCATAGCAGCTTGTTTTTGCTTCTGGAATGAAGGAGTATTTTTCCAGCATGGCTGATGCAGCAGTGGCAATAATCCCAAGGCCATCCCGTACACGAGCTTCTAAACTGTAGTCCCATTCATCATAAGATGCTGAAATGAGTCCTGAAGGAAACTCCTTGGGAGTGATTTCTGTGTTACCACTAACCAGGCTGGGAACTATCCAAAAGAAATCATAGCCAGTAAGGCCCAGGGAACGAGCCTCATCCAGTATGTAGACAGCTTCATCCTTGGAACAATAGAGCAGGATGACAGATGAATGAATTTTCTTCAGCTGAATTTGGGTCTTGGCATCTCCAAAGGCGGTATCAAGTATGATGACATTCTGCATGTCCCAGCCCACAAAACTATTTTCCACTGTGGTCTTAATGACATTGATGAAGTCTCGATACCCAGGAAAGGTGGTGGTCACCAGAGAGAACACATGCCAGTCATAATCCTGCATGATTTTCAGCATGATGATGGCTTCCTGCTGGATGGAAGCCCCAAACTGGAAGAATGTGGACATCACATCCTAGAATACCAAACAATGAAAGATTATTAATTTAGTACAAGTCTGAAGGGAATTGAATCTTAAATTCTGCTCTCTTTGATTCACCATGGCTACTAAACTTTTGTTGTATTCCAGTAACTTTCTGTGCCTTCTCTTATTCAAATTATTAATAAGCAACACCAATCATAAGTAAGTACCTGAGCTAATGAAAATATTTGCCAAAAACTGACAAAAATATTTTTGTTGTAGTGCTTGATCACTTGAAGACAACAATTCAAATCAGTATTTATGAGGCAGCTCCCTAGAGACAGCCACCCACTGTCACACAACTCATCTTCAGTAGGAAGCTTTATATTCATCAAACTTACCAAGAACATGACCCAGGACATTCATACTAATTTTTAGTTACAATGGAAATAAGCTACAATGCACATGCTGTACGTATATGAAGATGCTCTGTACTTGCAGGACTAATGTCTGAGGAAAACTTCATTTCCACAGGTTCATTGAACATGGTGGTAGCTGCCAAACTCTGCAGAAGCAGATTTATCACCCCCAGGTATGCAGTTCACTACTGTTTGTGGGCTCACTACTGACCATGCTCCGTGCACTCGGCCCATTGGCAGCTAACACGATGGGACCCCAGGGACAACCAGTAAGCTGCTGTGTCCTCATTAAAATACTGGAATGTAAGGAAATTCAAACAATGGCCTCATCGTCTGCCGTTGGCTGTTGAATTGCCTGACACCACTGTGATGTCAGCTTGCTAGGAACTTGTTTCTAATATCTCTCTTTGACTTTTGCAGTATTTGCAATGTTTTATACTGCATAAAGGCAGGTGCCTCATATTTTAACATCCATCAAAAATAAGCAACACAATAATATATTTTGTTGGCACTAAATTTACAAACATTTTCATTGATCTGTTTTTGCTAAGTTGATGTAAAATCTAAACTTGCATTTGAAATCTACATTCTAGATTTATATACATCACAGCTATTAGAGTACCAAAACTATACGCAGGAATATATAGAATCCTTTATTTTCATTTTGCTTCAGTATTTATTCCTGACCAGTAGTGGCAACTTATCTGCATCTTTCTCAGGTACAGAAAGTGTGAACTCCTGTGGAAAGAAAAGCTTATGATTTTAAAATATCAACAGTTCAAGATTTCTTATGCAGCCTTTACCAGAAAGACACACATGGTGCCTTTAATTCCAAGTTTTATGAATGTGGTTGTGAACTGCTATCCTATTTTACACTTCTGGGGAACAAAAACATGAATTGACTTCAGTTTCATGGCAATGTGGTGTTAAACATATAATTATTAGTGAGAACAGAAACTCATTTCTACAAGTTCTGTGTTTTATTGACAGAAATCTATTCAGAGCAAACTGAGTGTCTGTATTTTTCAATAGAAGATGAGGAGTGTTATTACTTCCCAAGTACCCAGAAATCCTGACATCAGGATCAAAAAGAAGAATGTCTTACAACATGTGTCAGACCATGAAAACTGGTGCTGAAGGTACAACACACACACTACTGGTGGTAATAAAATCATAGAATCATAGAATGGTTTGAGCTGGAAGAGACTTTTAAGCTCATCCAGTTCTAACCCCCTGCAAAAGGCAGGAACGCCTTCCACTAGACCAGGTTGCTCCAAGCCCCATCCAACCTGCCTTTGAATACTACTTGGATGGGGCATCATCTGCCTCTAAGATGGCATTCTGAATGCCAGTGCCAAATCTGAATTTGGTTTGGGTTAATTACAGATGTTATAAAACATATTTGGGAGAAGAATTAATTAGGAAGTCTGTTTACCGAAAGCTGCTCGGAGCTATTTCCTGGTGACATGCACTATATGCTTAAAAACAAACAAACAAGCTTTACATCTGGGGACACTTGCAGCTATAAAAAAAACAACAAAACCACTGCTCACAGAAAACCTGCTCAGAGTCAGCATTTCATAGTTTAATTACTGATTGACTATTATAAAGCAAATTAGGTATCTAGGCACAAAATGCCACAAATCTAAGTTTGCTGTAGCTTCCTAATGGAACATAAAAACATACTGTCAAGCAAAGTCAATCACTTCAGATTTCTTCTCCAGCTCTTATTTTATCCTGGATTTTACTTGTAATTATGATAAATAACAGTAAAACCAAGTAAAATAATTTACAGGAAATTAGATTATTTCCATTATATCATTTCACTCTACCTCATTTATGGATATAGTTTCTGGCTACTAATGTAGTGGAATAATTTTTTCAAACAGTACATACACCTTGGTCCTTCATTGCATCGCAAGGAACTTTTCCAATAAGGCAACTGAAGATGAAGTATTTGAGGCCAAAAACCAATGCACATGGACATTGCCAAGTGTAGCCTAACTAGTAAATATACATTTTTAACCTGAAGCTGTCCTTGTCATCTGGTCTGGCAGTGAACAGCATGGCCTGTGTCACCATGACATGAGTCTGACAACACAACAAAAGTGCTGAAAATAAAACCCTTCCTTTTATAAACATTTCATTAGAGAAGTAGTTTATGAAGGGAGTTTTGATTAAAGATTTTTATAAGTTCACACCCACATTACAAAAATCCTGTCAAAAAATTGTGAATGTGGACTTCAGCCAAAAATCAGGCAATTAGTATCAATTTGTGATCATAATGGTGAAAAACCTGTAATTATGTGGTGAAAACAAGTCTGGGTTCAGCAAAAATGGCAAAAATATCACAAGAGAGATTCTCATCTGAAGAAATTCCATGTAGTTCCTCGGACTTCATATGATGCTTTTATAGAGCTGAAGATCTGACTAGATGTGTTTACAATGAACAGGAAACAGATGGAAGATTGCAAGCAAATTGCAGCCTTAGGAACTTCACCAGATATTTGAATGACTATAAGGAGAATATTCAAGGACATTAAGTTTGGAGGGGGAGAAGAAAGAAAGTTGAGTGAAGAAACAGCAAATAAATAAATAAAACTACAAGGGATTCAACTGTTGTATCAAGTATCTACAGAACTGTTCATTTTGGGGCTTTTAAAACTTCACCTTTTTCCCAAAAAGCATTATTATTCCTCTGCTCTATACAGGCAGTATTTTGTTACATATCTAGAATTTAAGTTCTACTTCTCTATACTGAACAGCAAACTGAAGCTGTGTTTGTAAAAACCAAAAATCCAGTTATTTTAATTTCACTTGAAAACACTTAACATTCCATCTTGTCATCTATCAAGACATTCACCTAAGTCTTTGCTAAAGTAGGAATGCAGACGTAATATCGGAGGTGCTTTAAATGCATGTGAGAAATATGTTCTTTTTCTTCCTTCACTGGCCCCATCTATTGAGCTTATTGGTGAAGGATATAAGGAAGATGTACCACTTATCCAACACAAAGGGATCCCACAGATGAATCTCAAAGCATGAAAATCCCAAGATGTTACCTTGATATGAGCAAAAACATAGTTCGAAGTAGTTGTGGAAATGATTTGATTTTTTTGTACTACAAACAACAAATAAAAACTTTTAAATTCTTTCTGTCTTGCATGTGAATATGCAGTTTATAGCAAAACATCTCCCCATATGTTTCACACCAGAAAGAAGCAATCCTTCAATTGCTTCTTCCTTGACACTATTCTTGAATGTTGAATGCAATATAAAATTCTGCCATGACAGCAGAAGGGCATTTCAGCTACCCCCTGGTTTTACACAAAACAGAGCAGCGCTCTCTGGTGCTGTCAACTCATAGTTTAATATATTTAATTGCTTAATAATTAATGTACCAAGCCCATAAATCTGTCACTGTTGTCAGAATTGGACATTTCACATCCCTAATTCAAAAAACTTACAGGAATATGTCTCTCAAAACCTCATCCTCAGCTATTTTCATGACATTTTAGTTTCCCAGCTCCAGTTTTTCCATGAGATCAGCAGGGCATGCTCACAGCTGCTGTACCAGCTGAGGTAAGCCCTGACAGCAGTTTATGCCTAGGAAAAAAGCTGCAATAGATGGTTAGCTAAGGAAAGTAACATTTGTTATCTAAAATAGTATACCTGTTGCAAAATGGAACGCTAAACCAGAGCAAAAGAGGGGTCAACATAAGACCAAATCTATTTTCCACTTGGCAGCCTTGTTGAGGACATTCGTTTCACTGGTAAAATAATATTATGACAGAAAGCAAATGTCAATATGAAATATGGTTTAAAAAGCAATCCAGAAGATTCCTACTCACTATCTTCCACAGAGATCCAGCAAAAAACATTCTTCTCCTATTTTACACCACGGTAGCTTAGATATTCCATTTTTATTAAACAGTTTTAAGGCATGTGGTGCCAGGTCTACAAATAAAGTGCAAGCTGTTTAATGAATTAGAGTAGTTATTTGGCATTTTTATGAAGACTGGAAAAAACAGAAAGCCAGAGATTAGTCATGAATTTAAGCTGAATAATTTAGCATCACATCAAAAATATAAAGAAGAAAATTATTTGTACCAATCTCTAATGGTGGTGAATTTTGCAGCGTGGTAACTTGGTACCATTTTTCTTGGATTATTTGAAATGATGTATTGATTCCCTGGTAAACAGGAACTGAATCACATTTGTCTGCCATGAACCTCTAGGTTTCCTCTGTAGTACTACACAGACCCATGCAAAACCTGCAGTAAATGCAAGCAATGAAGTGAGGGAGCTCAGAGGAAAGGCTTTCCTCCCAAGATACTCTGCACATTTCTAAACTCCTAAGTTATTAAATTCTTGCCTCTATTCATTAACAGTATAGAATATGCAATCCCCAACACAAACATCTCACTAAGGTGCCCTGGGAAAAACACTTCCATTAGCACCATGGGAGCAATTTGGGGGAAATTATATAAAATTATGCACTTTCAGGCAAAGCAGAGCAACATGTGAGGGTGGAAATAATTTACTAATTATTACAAACAGCAGAACAGACTTGCTTCCCAAGGACCTGTCACCTCTCTGGCCCTACACATGGCAAAAACATGCATGATTCCTGCT